CTTCCGAGAAGATAAAACAGTAAGCTGAGAGACCAGTCCCCAGGCTGCAGTGCTGGAAGCAGGAGAGCTCAGCCAGCCTTATGATGAGGGGCTTAGGAGGACACAAGAATAAGATGTTCAGGGCAGAGGAAAATCTTCCCCTAACCCTACAGTTGTCACTAGGCTGACCACAATGTATTTGGTGGGCTGGCCCTGTGAGGAAAGAGTAGCCTGGAAGAGAGATAACCAGGGTGTCTAGTGGTGGGATGAGGGGGGTGAGGGTGGTGAGAGCCTGGCCCAGGTTGCCCAGGGAAGCTGTGGCTGCCCCATCCCTGGAGTGTTGAAGGGCAGGTTGGATGGGGCTTGGAGCAGCCTGGGCTGGTGGCAGGTGTCCCTGCCCATGCAGGGGGTTGGGACTGGATGATCTTTAAGGTCCCTTCCAACCCAAACCAGTTTGGGATTTTGTGATAACAAACTGTAGCTGTTAGGCAAGGGGGAGAACAGGTTGTACTGAAAGCTACATTATTATGGCAATATATGGTCTCTGGAAATTAATTCCAGGGTGTGCAGTAAGGATTCTGTGTTCTCCTGTGTGGGAGCAGTGCCAGGAATCGGGAGCATTTGGGGTGCTTTCCTTTGGATGTTCCTTTCCCTGGTATCAGTCAGACTGAGGGACAGGTTCTCAGCTGTGAAAAAATTTGAATGGCCCCCATCATATCTTCTTTGAATAGGAAATGGCTGCCTTGTGACCAGCTCTGCAGGCTTTGGTCTTCACCTGATCTGTTCAGGTCGTGCCATTCATGACAAGTTTTCCTCTGAGCTTGTTTTGGAACTTTATTCCTTTTGGATACCAAATCCATATTCTGTAAATGATCCTTTAACCCAACGTGCAGTTGAGGGGATTTTAGTCAGATTTCCATTGGCCACTCTTAAACTGATAGACAACCTTTTCTGTCTTAAAGTTTCCATTGATATGTAGTATCTGTTTCTGATGGAGTTGTTGTGCTTGTGCTGGGATTGTCCACTGAGAGTTCCTGTGGTTGGCTGTGCAAATTACATCATTTCCATCCTCGAGTAATCTGGTTGCACTGAAGTGCAGTCATTTGCATGTGCAAGAATTGAAATGTTTTTAATTTCTCTCCTCTGAGTCATTTATGTCCAATTCCTTTTGTGCAGGAAAGAGTAGGGAACTTTTTGGCAGATTTCTATTTGGTGAATGGACTTGTATTAGAGTCAAGGAAAAGAAGAGAACATCTGAGTGAGGAGGATATTCTTCGCAATAAAGCTATCATGGAGAGCCTGAGTAAAGGTGGCAACTTAATGGAACAGAACTTTGAGGTATGCTTAAGTAGTTCTTCTCAGGATGTGAGTTTTTGCATAGGAGGATTATCTTTTACACCAATCATTTATTGCTGTAATTTTAAAGTAACAAATACGACCTACCAGTGTAGTCTTGGTGATGTGTTAATGAGCTAACCTAATTAGTGCATGCATAGAGGAATTTCTGTGATTAGATTGGATATTCCAGTCTTAATTTGACTCTTAGTGTAAGATGAAGGGATTGGTTGTGGCAAATCACTTTAGCTTCTTTTAGACCAAATGTTTATCATTCAGAATGCCTTTCTCCTTTTCTTTTCAATCGTGTTTGCTTTTTGCTTCATTAAAATGGCCTAAGCCTGTTATTATCTCCATGAAATCAAGAGCTATTCAGAATGAGCCAGACATCATCTGGGAACACATACAGCCTTTTGCAAACGATTAATTTATGTCAGCATTAGCTTGTGTTTTGTTACTTGTCATTCAGACCCTGGAATTAACTGATTAGCTGAGGTATTAAAGGACCCAGCTTCTCTGGAAAAGGCGGTTTGAGGCCAAATACCTCAGTGCAGAGTAGGAGATGGAAAAGGCCGGCGAAGTGTCAGCTACAGACTGCACAGACTGTTTTGCTGTTCTTTGTGGAATTGTACAGTTGTATCTTTTGCATGGCAATGTTCTGAAAGAATCCAAGGCCAACTGACCAGCTCCGGGTGTTTTCTGAACAGCCCGTCCGGCGACAGTCGCTCACCCCGCCCTCACCCAACACCATCACCTGGGAGGAGTACATATCTGCTGAGAATGGGAAGTAAGTGTGGGTGCTCTGCTGACACCTCTACAGCATTTGTTTGGGGCTGTGGGCTTGTCTCATGGTTTGTGTTTTTTTTGTGTTCTCCAGTTTGTGGGTGCTCTTTCTTCTATGGAATGTTGGGTTTGATGTCTGGTGTTCTCCAGTGGGCTGGGAAGCTGGTGCTGCACATGGGAATGGGATCAGGGCATCAGCTGGGGATAAAAACACTGCCTGGGTGTGTCTGCCTGCTGCCCAGGGCTTGACACTGAACACTGTGGAAATGTGCACGTTATGTGACTTGTTTTTTAAGGAAGATTTGCTGACAAATTCACCACTGTAATTAATTTGTCTTATGATGGTAATGAACAATCCAGTTCACCATGTTGAAGATAAATGTTTCTGATTTAATGAGACTGTAGTGGCAGTGTACAAAAAGAAATGCTGCTGGAATCCAAGGACATACGGATCTCCCAATACTGGCTAGATCTTTCTTTGCAAGATACTCTCCTCTAGGTGTGTGACTAGGTAGCTAGCAGCCATAATTGATATTAATTTACAGTAACTAAAGTAATTAGAGGTCTAAGCAGCTGAGTTTATTTTCTAGGGCTGCATGCTCTCTACCTGTTGAATTGTACAAGGACCAAAACATGTACCAAGTGTGTCACATAAGTGACAATGATAAAAGTCCTTTCTCCAGAGACACTAGACTAGCCTGTGGTCAGGTGTTACCAGGGAATGGGATGGTGTGTCAGGAAGGGCTTACAAAAAAGGCACATCTGTCTATTTTGGCTTTATTCTTTTTTAAAAACTAATTTAATTGTTATTAAATATATTTGAGACTGAATATTCAAGCAGAATAAACAGGTTATGCTTGAACAGTCATTGCTGTTAGGACAGAAATATGTATGTGTGTAAGATTTCACTTTCTTTAATAATCTGATTAGCTGAAGGGGGTTTGATGGGAAATCCAGGTTTCTAGCTAATGTAAAGCAGAACACGAAAAGTTTTGTTATCTTATTTCTTAACCTGTTTGTTCCTCTCCTATAACAGAATTTTCTGTCCTGTGTTTTCCAGCATTACCTTCTAGTGACCGTGGAGTAACTTTTCTGCTTTCTCTGAGGTTGTTTCATATTTTAGGCTGAAAGCAAATACCCTTTTTCTAGTTCAGCTTGATACTTTGTTCACATACAGACAACTGTAACTAGCATCTGAAATCAGCTGTATATATTTCTGGGTAGTTGTCATGTCTTTCAATAGTGTTTATTAATATAATGTTCATGGGGAATTATTGACGTTTTTCCTCAAGCTGTTTCCCTAAATATTTTTGTCTTGTCTCCCAGTTTAGCAGAGCTTAGAATAATCTAAATTGAGATGATTACTGATGCATCTTTACCATGCACAGCTTTTACTTTTCAAGTATTTGCTTCACTGACATTTTCAAACCTGAGTCTGTCTTCCTTTAAAACCAGGGCTTCACTGACAGAAAAGCTGACTTTGTCCTCTCCCCTTTCAGAGCTCCTCACCTGGGCAGAGAGCTGGTCTGCAAAGAGAGCAAGAAAACCTTCAAAGCCACGATAGCTATGAGCCAGGAATTCCCCCTAGGAATTGAATCGTAAGTCAGTGTTGCTGCCTCCAGCGGTGCTTGTGGGTAGGAAACGTGTTCATGTGGTTGTGAACTGCAGGCTTCTCCATATTCTCAGATTTGGGACTTGGCAGTTTAACACCTGCAAAGGAAGTCGTGCTGTTAAGCAAGGAAACTGTGAAAGCACAGCCCTGGGTGCTGGGGTGCCTGTTCCTGGAGGAGCCAAGTGCTTATCTTGCTGATAAGAGCAGGGATTTGATCAGGTGTATCATTAACTCAGCACAATGCTGATGTGCCTGGTCCTGCAGAATTCTAGAACGTTTTTGCCCGTAACAAGTTGTAGCACCAAGTGATGCCCTCTAAACTGATACAGAACCATGCCAGGTCTCTTGTGTTGTCCGTGCGGGGTGTGGGACTAAATGCTCCAGTCTGGTGTGAAATGAGGACAAGACATTACCATCTTGATGTTTATTTGTACACCTGTGGCAATAATACAACGTGGATCACCAAGAACTGGACATGAGGGGGCTGGTACTGAAGCTCTGAGGAGACAGATTTAAGCATGATGTGAATTTTCAGTTCTTTTTGTCACCTTGCTCTTTGGGTCATTTTTCTCTTTTCTGGAGGAAAAGCTTGTGGAACAAGAGCTTGTTATGAAATTTGTTTTCCTTTTCAGGTTGTTGAATGTTTTAGAAGTAATTGCACCCTTCAAGCACTTTAACAAACTTAGAGAATTTGTTCAAATGAAGCTTCCACCAGGCTTTCCTGTGAAATTAGGTAAGAGGACCACAACGAAGTGTGTGTACTGACTCATGCAGTGTACTCAGAACTTCTCTTGAGTTTTGGGAAAGAACACTTGTGGAAGAGAGTGTCACAGCCTCCCTGGGCAACCTGTTCCAGTGCCTTCCTACCATCTAGGTGAAGCATTTCTTCCTGATGTCTAACTTAAGTCTCCCCTCTTTCAGTTTAAAACTATTCCCCCTTGACCTGTCGCTGCCCTCTCTGGTGAAAAGCCACACCTTCAGTAACAGCTGGTAATTACTGGTAAGCTTGTATTTCCTGGCTCCTCACTGTACCATTCTGCTTCCTCCCCAGATATTCCTGTGTTTCCCACCATCACAGCCACTGTGACTTTTCAGGAGTTCCGTTACGATGAGTTTGATGACTCCATCTTCACTATTCCTGATGACTACAAGGAGGACCCCAGCCGTTTTCCTGACCTCTAACCCAACTGGAAGGTGAATGGTGAGCGCCACCACCAGCGTCCCACAGCGAGCCCATGGATGCACACAGCCCACAGGTAGAGAGCAGTGGGTCCTAAAGGAAGGGATAAACTTAATAATCCAGAAGAAAAGGGAACATGCATCAAATGACTGATGTACTGACACTCACTCTAACGGGCATCTAGTCTAGTCCCTGATGTACAGCAAGTCTCCTGACGTGTCCTGCACACTTTTATACATCCAGTCTTGCAAGCCTGGTAGTCTGACACCTCGATGACCCTGAGAATACTTAACAGCTGTGAGGACTATCATTTGTTTTTAAATTTTTTACATTTCTTGGTGATACAAAAAGCACTCTTGGACCATTAGCATAAAAGTTGAAATGTCTTAGCTGGGTATTAGTCCTCTCAAACATCCCACCATACTTAAGATGACCATGTTATATTCTTTCAAGCTTTGTTTTCATGAATTGTAAACTATGTATCATGATGTATAATTCAGTAATTTGAATGTTAGTTGAAGTATAATAGCAGAAATGCCTTTTCTGTAGATGAATGAACCAAATGGTAACCATTAAACAGTTGCATTGTCCTACTGCAATACACTTCAGAAACAGCATTGGCTCTGCAGGGAATCAGGTACCTCCTCCAGCACCTTAGTGCAGTCCATGGTGGTGCTATCTGTCTGAACCCTTCCCTTCTTTACCCAGCTCTTTGGGAATCCTCCTTCCTTGGCTCTGTGCTTAACTCCTCTTCATTGTCCTGGCTTGGAAGTCCCAGCTGTGTCCACCACGCTGTGTTGATGAGCATGCTCAGAGGTTCACTAGCTAGAAATGGTCACTTTTTTCTTCTTCTATTGTCACATTCACTTAGGACACTTGCTCCAAAATGGTTGAGCACCCAGTAGGTTCCCTGGTGTTTGTCTTCAGCAGCCCCTCAAACATGAGATGTGTGTGGAGAGCTCCTAGCACAGTAGGCTCAAGCATTACATCTTCATGGAAGAAGGAACTTTTATGTTTAACTGTGGTGCACACTGAGCAGGGCTCACTTTGCAGGGTCTTAGTTGCAAATGCTGAGGATGTCTCCACAATCACTTCCTTCCTCTTCATATTTTGAACAGGTAGATGTTTCAGTACTTTGGCTTATTGAGCTTATTCTCATTCCAAGTGGTTCCAGTCTCCTAACCTGACAAGAATCCAGCTCTTTGGTTTGTTAGGAAGAATTTGTGCATAAGGCTAATGGTGCTATTTGTTTGTATTAAGGAATTTAGATTCAAGTGCTGTGGTGTAATTGTACAAAAATGTAAATATTTTCAAAGTTATATTCTTTGTGCACTGTAGGTAAAACCTTTTCTGAAAATCAATAGAGTTAAGTATCAAACTTTCTAATACTCCTGGGAGAACCATCCCTGTGCTTAGTGAAGGTCACCACCCTCACTAACCATGCAGGTGGGCAGCAGAGGTGGTTTGGCACAAGGCAGGAGCACTGACCTGTCAGGCACAGGTGGTCATGCAGGTTGGAAGCAGATGTTCTTTCACAACATCTGGAATCCCCCTGTGCACACCCTGGCGAGGCAGCTCTAGGGAAGGCCAGTGTCCCCTCTGTGCAGGGTCCCAGTGAGTCACCATGAGAGGACAGAGGGGCTGAGAGCAGAGGGCTGAGGTTGGTCCTCCCAGCAGCACTGCACAGTTCCAGTCTGACAGTGAGTGAGGTGCACCCTGCAGGCTGGGATCCGTGCGCTGCACTTACCTACTCAAAATCCCCCTGAAAATAGGTCTGTGGGGGGAAAGCAGAGGGAAATGCAGAACTGTAATTCCTGCT